CTGGCGCCGATCTCTGGGCAGTCTGCCCTCTACTCGGACGTCCGGTAGGATCGTCCCACTTCTCAACGTACGCGGTAGCGTAGCGTCGGTTACTGTATCTACAGGCATTGTACTAACCTCTTAGGGTGCTCAAAAAAGTGTAAGTTAAGCGTAAGGGGGCGAGGCGGGCGGTGGCGGTGTCACGACGCGCCTCGCAGGCAACAGAGCAGGATCCGGTAGTATAGCAAGAATGAATGTAGATACAGGCGTGCAATCGAGTTTTTATAGTCGAGACGCCATAGATATCAGAGATAATCATATCTCAGATATCAGGCGCCCGGGGAGTAGAGGTAAGCACGCAAGGTTTGACCATATGGCGCCCAACGGGCGCGTCAACATTGTGATTTCTCAGTCGCGGCGGAGCCGCGACCATTCTAAGTTTACTCTACGGCTAAGCTACGGAGTACTCCGTTACATGACCAAAGCGGCCCCCCAGAAGCATTACACACACGAGGATAGTCTACGTAACATGAGTTTATAGCTGCGCCGCCAGTAAACACATACGCAAAGATGTATGGCCAATCCTGAACATGGAATCGAAGCGATGGCCACGGTAGCACTAACGGAAGGGCCCATGCTTACGTGAGTTCTGCGCAAATGTTTGCACCGGGCCCGCCTCAGGCCAATGAGAATGCACGTTCTCATACGAGCACGCATCGAGACTCGAGACTGGCGAACCTCGTGCGATTTGACTGACCGGAAGTGTTACAGATACTATATTCGGAGATCTGGGATACAGATCTACAGAGCGCAGACTTTCTAGCGATGGCATCGACCGACCAAATGAATATATCATCATCTCGACAGCCCAGTGCTGACTCGGAATCATATCCCTCGTTCTACACGACACAATGCAACGCTACGCGAGCTACGGTTTGAATACTACTCGCTTCATGTAATCAGAGGTATACAATCTCGAGCTCATGGTCGAACCCCTTGAACGTGATGTCGATCTTCTTGGAACCGATTTCAAGGTAAACACCCTTGCGCTGCGACCCAGACTGGTTCGCGAAGACGACAACCTCCCAGCCGCTGCGCGACCACGAAGATTTGCTGTCGTCGAAGTATCCGAGGAGCTCAAACCACTCGTCATTCCCGCCAGAGTACTTGCTCACGAATGCTTTGATCTCCTGGTTGGGAACGATGCTCCTGAGACGCAGAGTACCCTGACGGTAATAGGGTCAACTAGGCAAAACAAATGGGTTACTACAAGCCACTCACCATTGCGGTTGAATTTGGTGCCGATTACTTTGTAGAGGAAATTTCAGCGGTGTTGAATGGATAATCCTGGAGACAATAAGATCGACGACGGGGAATAGGAACACCGGCAGGCTCACGTTAAGAGATGTTTCTGCTCAACGGTCGCTTTGCAGATGTCTGACCTGATACCAGCCCATGCCTTATATACACGAACCGGAACTCGGCCTCCGCATAAGATCCGCATAATACCAGAGCTTGCGACCGACATTATGGTGTTGTCCATCTGGAAATGGACATGACAGTCCCACCGAATGAGCAGGAATGCCATTCCCATGTCAAGAGCGGAGGAATTGCAAGGGCGGCAGGCCAAGTGTACTGATCTTCACTCGGAGCATTCGAGAGACCGACATGTGGGAGGTCCTCGGATTAACGGACCATGGGTCGAAGCGAGGGACAGACAGGCAGAGAAATGGCTCGGACCCAAGTTAGGAAATTTCCAAGGCACGACCACTTCGCGTGCAAGTATAGTTCCACAGATGACAGTGAACATCGTAGACGATGATGTAGGCAGAGTCGCGGAAATGAATTCAGTGCAGCGGTCACGATATCACGGACGAAAGAGCTGTCAGAAAAAGTGCAATCACAGGTGAGATGGACAAGACAATGCACCACAGGTCATGAGAAAGACGTGATGTGCGTTGTCACCAGCAGTCTGAGCTCATCTTCGCCTCGGTACTAATCTCTCGCCGATGGGTTGCTCCGTCCGAAGTGGAAAATGCCTAGGCGACACGAACACTACAGTCGTAGAACGCTACACGCATTGGGACTTTGCTTGACGATTCTACTCCCATGTCGATTCAATGCGGCAAGCACCAGGTATGCTCTGAGATAAATGCACTCTCAATGGAACACCGTACAATACCGTGTGACGAACGACGAGACGTATGAACCATCCAGCTACGTCGATCGGTCAACTCACGGTAGAATGACAATGCGCCAGTAGCACATGAGTCCTTGGTGGACTCTTCGCACCGGTTGCGGGGCTTGTGCTTGAAGTCAGTCAACCCGTGACAAGGAGCGCTGTTGCACAACGGCAAAGTGTGCCATAGGGATAGTGTCTAAGACATCCCTGCAAGTTCGCAAGTGAAGGTCAGCAGACATAAAAACGAAGAACGCAAAACAACCACTCACTGATTTTCAACACAAGACGGGTGAAATCAAGGCGACATTATTGCTGAAGAAATACTTAGGCCCGGAAGCGAAAGACGATGGACGCTCACCTGCTATCACTGAGAGCGTTCGCAAACATGCGAGGAGCGAAACAGCCGTTGGCTTCCCCCGAAGGGTACTAATCCCCCAGGCCACGAAGAGGCCGGCTGCCGAATCACCAGCGACAGGCGCTGGCAATCCTATTCTGGGAGGCCTTGAACTTGAAGACCAGGGACCGGGGGACCATGAGACCAGGAGACCAGGGGACAACCAGGGAGGACCAGACCACGGCAGCTGGAAGCTAGAAAGGAAAGAAGCGTTAGAAGCGTTAGCGAGTAACTCAATGTCCACGCGTCACAAATATCTATGTACGACTATCTACGATCTATTTAAGCCAATCCCTAAACCACGATCCCAATTCATCGAGCCTTTTTTTTGGGGGGGATTTCGATTTTTGCGATTTTTTTCGAGTTTTTGATGTAACACGCAGTCGAGATGCCCAATCGAGCGCGGCGTCCCGAACTCGGCCTGCGAAAGACATTCAAGCGAGCGAATGAGCTAGTGGGCCAATGTTCTGAAAACGCGAGAACGTACCAAACATCTCGTACTGTATGCCGGCGCACTGACGTGGGCTGTGGAGTTGGGCTACCAGCGAAGGACCAGGCGATCGCAGCGTCCCGCTCTCGACCTGACCTGGCACAGCAACCCTGTCCCTCTTCGACGCCAAAAAACCCCGTCCATGCCAATGGATGATCGTTGTCGAATCCCGCCACCGACAGCGTTCATCTCCGAGCGACACCCAAGCGGAGATATGCAGGAAGAAGAGCCCCGACGACGACCATTCAACATCGTCGGCGTCGTTCTTCCCATCCGCGTGTACGGCTGGCCGTGACGAGGTCTGTGGGTCAAAAGATTCAGGCTCGCTCCGATCGGCTCATCTTCCGTGCTTTTTGATGAGAGAGGGGTGGGGGTGGGGTGGGGGGGAGCGTGCGAGGGTCGGGGAATAGTGCAACCTCCTTCGAGTGCGTGGAGGGAAATGCTGCCTGTAGGACCTGCACTCTGGTCCTGGAGGCCATCGGGCGGCATACCCGAGGCCCCGCGACCGTCGCTCAAGACGAAGATTGGGGGTAGATGGCGCGAAAGACCGTCGTGTGGAATTCGTCCCCGTATACTGCCGCGAAACGAGCCGCAGTACGGTAAGGGTTGAGCCAGGCTCCGGCATCGTTCAGGTCGCGCAGCTTGGCGAGCGCCGAGACGGGCTCGACGTCCCGATTCACGTGCACTCGGACTGTGTCGCAAACGTCGGTGAGCACGGGGAGGCAGGGGTGAGAGCGAGGAGCGGACGTACTGTGACGGTTTTGCCCCAGCTTCCGGGTGATAAAAGGAAGCTGGGGAAGCGACGGCATCCTAAGCCTGGAGCTGGGCTTAGGAGCGCGCTCTGATGTGATACGTTGCGCCTCCGCGAGCGCGGCGACCTCATAATCCGCGCGGAGCCTGAGGATGTCGATGCCTTGGCTTTTGTGTAGGTCGCGCAAGTCCTCGAAATCCCATTCGGCCTGATCTAGGTCGTCAGAGGTGCCATCGATCGCGCCTCTCATGAGACCAATGATTCGGTAGAGGGCACGGAATTCGTCGAGAAGGGCCTCCTTGATCTCTTCAGAGGGGGCGTAGGCGGCGAGGGGGATGTAGTCGCGGTAAATGGTGCAGTACTTGTCGTTGCGCTTGCATGCTGCGTAGGGTGACATTCTGGGCAGTAGTCTGAAGTTGGGCGAAGCAAAGGGGTAGGTGACTGAGAGTGAAGGTGATGGATGAACCCAGAATGCTAGAGGTTAGTATGAGCAGATGCTTGAGATTTTATACGTGCTCGAGAGCGGAAGATGCGGAAGCATGCATATGGACGTCTGGTCGCGGAACGACCAAGTGTTCCAACTCGGGGCACTTGATCGTTCCGCCCGAGACCGGATGGTGCAAGTACGGTCCAAGACGAACCCCGCGCGCCCTTACGTCCATCGAATCTCGTCACCTCGGACTGTCCCGATAGGGCCAACGATCCTGCTATGTTACTTTACCGAATCCCGAGGTCCCAGCAGCACGATGTCACAACTTTCATCGACGATCTCTCCTGATATATTTAAGAGAGCTCGTTTGATTGTTCGGGGTCGCTCTTCCAAGTTTCTGGTATCGGCCATCTTCGCCACCTACCTCTTGAGCGAGTAGCCATACTCAACCTCGCGGTCAAGTCTCGACGATGCCGCCTTTCGTCGCCTCCGCCGAGCGCACCGACGGCGCCGTGCACGTCCTGCTGATCACGACGGGCAGCGTCGCGTCCATCAAAGCGCCCCTCATCGTTTCCGAACTGCTCTCCGTGCGTCCTCACACCCGCGCCAGCGCGTTGCCCGAAAGTCTGATCGTGAAGCGCTGGGGGAGAGCAGTACACCAACGTGAAGGTGGAGGTCGTCGCGACGACGCCGTCCACGGTGTTCTTCGACGCCGGTGCGATCGCTAGCGCGGGCTCGCGCGTCTGGCGGGACGAGGACGAGTGGAAAGTGAGCTAGACGAGTTTCCCTGCCTATGGCACGCGATGGAGAGCAATGCCGCGTAACGACGCTACCCCTCCTGACGTATACCCCACACGATAATGCACAGGCGGGCTTCAAGATCGGCGACCCCATCCTGCACATTGAGCTCCGCCGCTGGGCGGACGTCGTCCTCGTCGCACCGTGCTCCGCGAATACGCTTGCCAAGATCGCAGGCGGTATTTGCGACAACCTTGCCGTGCGTTTCCCCCTCCTTACACTCAGCCTGCGAGCGCTTTGGGTGACGTTTCACAGACGTCTCTGCTACGCGCGCTAGCGCCGACGACACCGACGTATGTCTTCCCGGCGATGAACACGCTCATGTACGAGCACCCGCTGACGGCGGAGCATCTGCGCGTCGTGCGCGAGGTGGTGAAGTACACCGTGGTCGGGCCTATAGGTAAAGGGCTCGCCTGTGGAGACGTCGGTGCGTCTTCTCCTCCGCCTCGAGTAGTCCATCTGCTGAGTCATATGTTGTGCTGACAGGACTCGGTGCTATGACGGAGTGGCGAGAGATCGTGCAGATCGTTGTAGACAGGTTCGGGCTGCAGAAGAGACAAGCTGCTGTCGACGGTTGAGCTGGAACGGGTCCCAATCGACTAGATGTATGTACCTGCCCCATCAATGTATCCCTAGACAACGCCCGGGGTCTCCGGACCATATTTTGTACAACAGTTTTTTTTTACAACTATCATACAGCAGTACACGCAACACGGCAGGGTATATACCTTACGCTCTATTCGTCTAAAACTCGGCGCCACGGTGCACCTCCCCGCGCCCATAATCCGGTCTAGCTTCAACCTCGTCGCCCTTGCCCCACGGGTCGGTCGTGAGCCGAACTTCGAAAGCGTCCCAAAGGGGCTGGAAGGGCGCCTTTTGTTCCTCGCGTAGGATCGTCTTCGCCGTCCGCGGCGGGTCGAGCGGGGTCATCGCCAGCACCATGTAGTCCTGTGAGGCGCGAAGAATCAGAAAAACGACCACGCGGGGGAGGGAATCGATTCTAGACGTACGCGAACGTGCAGGCCGCCGGCCTTGAAGCCGGCGACTTTGACCGAGTCGCTGATGACGATATGGCCGTCGTATGCGCGCCATTCTGGACCTTCGCCCTGAGGGGAGAGAGTTGAGTGTCAGAAATAGGGGGGCTTTTGAGGCGGAGGGGAGGATGCGCCTTACCGCGATGTCGAAGATGGCTTCGCCTATCGTATCGGTCCTCCCTACAAGAGCCATGGGGGCTCAGACAACTGCTACGCGAGCGTGGGAGGCGGTTTTCAACGACGTACACATATCTCGTCCTGCGCCGTTTGCGCCCTCGTTTCTGCGGGTCATTGGTACGTGAGCGTTACGGGATGCGTGGTGAGTGAGCGAGGGAGAATGGGGTACGCACCGTACGTCACAGTAGGACCGCCGGAGGAGCTGGACGCGAACCTTCTCGCGCGACTTGGCCGGCGGGAGCTCGGCCGGACCACCGTAGCTGGCAGACGCGCCAGATATATGGGGCGCGAAGGGCTGGAAGGTGGCCATCGTGTCCGCGCGCGAGGCGAAGGAGAGGTGAAAGGGAATCGACTCCGTGATGGCAAAGATGCGCGTGTTCGGTACGTGCAGCTGACCGAAGTCAATATGATGCGGTTCAGTGAGAGGGTGAGGGTAGCGGACAACGAACGGACCTTGCATTGGATGTACCGTTCGCGGTCGGGGACATTGCATTCGAGTTGGGTTTTGAAGACTGCCCAGTCCGGGTGCCAGTCGGGGAAGCCACGCAAGGTGTGGTCCATTAGAAGTGGCTCGGGGAGCGGCGCTGCGGGTCGCGTTCGTGGGAGGTAGACGAAGGGGGTGGAAACAATCGCTCTATTGCGGGCGGGTGCAATCAGGTCAACCACGGGTGCACGGGAAATACGGAGAGGCAAGGAGGAACGTACGTGCTGCCAAGTGCGAATAGGGAGGCTTTGCTACGGACGACGGAGGCGGTGACAGAGTAGGTGGTGCTGGCGTAGAAGCCCGGAACTCCGGTCATCTTACATTCGTAGCTCGGCGGAAGGGGCTGCAAACGTGATGTTAGTGAGTTCCGTTCACCTGGTGGAGGTGTTACCCATACATAGTTGTCCTTTCCATCGGAGAAGGTGGGTGGTAGCCGGAGACTGAAACTGAGCGAAGCAGGGCATGAAGGGCTGGTGCCCTTGCGCCACAGCACGGCCTTGTCGAGGCAGAGCGTGTGCAACGCCTTGCCCATCTCCGCCAGTTCCTGGAATAGACAGGGTGTTAGATCGTGGATGTATGCGCAGCCCGCAGCCAACGGTTGTTGGCTTCGACGTCATCCGTGATTCCTACCTGCATCTTCAGACAGCCTTCGATCTGGGCGCCGGGGAAGGGGGATCAGGATCGTCGTCAATGAAAGAACGATATGCTGGGTGAGATCGAGAGGAGGCACACCTTCACTTCGACACTGTCGACGTTTTCGATCTGCGCGAGATCGACAAATCCCTCGACGGCGGCGCCATGACCGTAAAGGGGAAGGGAGGCCCCATCCAACTGTTGTGTGAGGCGGAGGCTGACGCCGCCTTTGGGGGATTGCTTGACGAAGTTGCCGTCGAAGCGGGCGCGCAGGGTGCGGACGGGATCTGAGTATGCAAGCCGCTGCTCCTCCGCGCGGGGTTCGTGAGTGTACGTCGGCGTGCGCTGGAACGTCGGCGGGGTGACGGGGTAGCTAGGGAGGTCGGTCGTCGACATTGTTGATCGTGTGCGAGACAGCGAGTGAGGGGGTGGATGCTTTCTCTTTCAGATCTCAAGCACGCATGGTGCAAGATGGGATATATCTTTCACGTCCGCAGCGGCGTGCAACCGTGCTTGGCGATAAATAGCGGGGCTGGGAGAGATGGCTCGGTCTGCCATGGGGACTTCCGGCATCCATCTCGGCCGAAGATAACCGGCGGCGTACTGCCTCTGGATCCGGTGTCTGATACACGTCAGTACTCAGTACAGTACTCAGTGCTTAGCGCTCAGCGCTCAGTGCTCTTGCAGCGTACCTAACGACCCTTTGCCTTGCGGTTACATGAGATGTCACCCATGCAACGAGAGAATCCTACTTACCACGCTAAATCGGCTGTGATGAGCTAGGTTAGCCCCGCCAAAAGTGCCCGATTCAGGTTGCAAGGTTGATGTAAGTAATCTGATACGTACGGCCTTCAAATGGCCAATTACACTGGCAGCGCAGCCTCCGACACACACCCTATGGCCAACCCAGATCCCGTAGACCCTGCGGCGGTCCCTCTTGGAACGGGCCCGCCCACAAAGGCGGAGCTCGTCGCGCACTACCCCGCTAAATTCACCTGGCGCCAGCTCAAGGCCTTCGTCAACTCCGGGTGCGCGCCCTTCCCTCGACTTTCTGCCGATCTTGTCTGCCAGCCCTGATCGACCGCACACAGCGACCTCGGCCTCTTGAAACGCGACAAGCAGCTCCAGCAGCGCTACGACCAGTGGTCCGTCGGCATCAAGCAAGAGTACGGGTCGATGGGTGCGGGTGCTCGTCACCAACATCGATAATCGCCTCCGAACGCTAAAGCTTCCGACGGCGAGGGCCGTAACCCGCAGTGAATTACCTTCTCCAGAAGCGCCTGCGCTGGGGCGAGCCCGACACCCAGGCCGCCATCCGCTCCGTGCTCGACGACGACCCGGACGCCTACCGCGGCGGCCGACCCGACGTCGCCGCCGCCCCCGTCACCCCGCTCGTCACGCAGGACGTGGTCACCCTGCCAGCAGAAGAGAACCTGCCGGAGCCGCCGCTCGCGTTCCAACACGAGTACTTTACGGCCGACACGCCCTCGGAGCTGCTCAGCGTCATCCAGAACGACTGGCCTTACTCAGGTCCGCGCTACCTTATCCTCTGTCCCTCGTTTGTGCGCTTACTCACCACAAATCGCCGCAGTCCCGCCCGAGGTCGAGCACACGCTTATCTGGACCAAACTCCCGATCGTGCACGACGCGCTCGTCCCCGCCTCGATCCGCGCGCGCATTCATCAAGACGGCCTCTGGGGCTTCACCGGCACGCCGCCCGACGACCCGCCTCCGTCGCCCTCGCACGTCACAGACGCCCTCCCCGCGCTCGCCGAGTGGGGCGTCACGCCCGACAAACTCGTCCGCTCACCTCGCGGGACGGACGAGGAGGAGGCGCTCGTGCGCCGCGCGGGAAGGGAGGTGCAAGAGTTTGTGAAGAGGCGGTGGGACGAGCGCGTGTGGGAGACGGCGTGGTTCGTGAATCCGCAGGTGAGCGCCGTTTTTTTGCCTCCCGTGTTGTGTGGGTGTGGTGGATAACGAGGCGCTGATGCCGTCCGTGTCGTTCGTAGCGGCTGCAGAGCATTCCCGGTTTGGCGCATATCCACGTCTTCGCCAGACGCAAGGACATTTAGAATCGCTAGACCAGGTTGCTAAATACGAAGGAAAACGGACGTTTTAGATTACGAATGTCTGGATGGACACTCGGTACCTACATGACACACCCGCATGCGAGTTAAACGATCTCAGGAATGCATCACCTACCCGTTGTGTCATCCATTCACATCTATGTTCCCATTCTAGGAGAGGAACGTGCACCATCGTTGCACCCTGAAAAGGTACGGCGCGTGTCAGCACGGTTCCCAACTCCTTATCTTCAGTCGCAAGGAGTGCCGTTTTTTGTAGGTGAGCTCTGTGAGGATTGCCAACATTCCTAATAAATACAACATCGTTGTCGAATAAATACGCAGTGGACCCTATGCTAAATGTGAGCGTGACAGTCGTGAACTCATGTCAAACCGCGGCGCGCGCCCCTCCACACCCTAATGACACTCCTTAGTCGAGGTCGTTGATGCTGACCTCACGGTCGAAGAGGCCCTTGAGCGCTTCGATGCCCTGGTCGACGGCGGTCGACGCGGCGAGGCCGACACCGGTGCCGATGAGGCCCTTGGTGATCGGGCTGAGGTTGGCGGGGTCGCGGGCCTCGAGCTCGGCGGCGAGCTCGCGGTCGAAGAGGCCCTTGAGCGCTTCGATGCCCTGGTCGACGGCGGTCGACGCGGCGAGGCCGACACCGGTGCCGATGAGGCCCTTGGTGATCGGGCTGAGGTTGAGGGGCTCGCGCGCTTGGAGCTCTGCGAGCTCGCGAGAGGTGAGCTTGTCGATGATCTCGCCGACGCCGAAACCGCCGAGGGCGCTGCCGAGGCCGCCAACGAGGCCCTTGGAAATGATGGAGCCGAGGCCTTCCGCAACTTCAGCGCCCACAGCGCCTGCAGCGGCACGGGCCTCAAGGGAGCGGCGGAGGTTGAGGGGCTCGCGCGCCTGGAGCTCGGCGAGCTCGCGAGAGGTGAGCTTGTCGATGATCTCGCCGACGCCGAAACCGCCGAGGGCGCTGCCGAGGCCGCCAACGACGCCCTTGGAAATGATGGAGCCAAGGCCCTCCGCAACTTCAGCGCCCACAGCGCCTGCAGCAGCGCGTTTGTCATTCTTAAGGTTAATGCCGAGCTGCTCCTCGATCGCCTTGATCTGGTCCTCGGTGAGCTCACGGCTGTGGGCATGTTGGTCAACGTCATGACAAATTCTCCAATTCTGCGCCAACATACCGGTTGAACAGGCCCAGAATGTCGGAGGTGATACCGTTGGCCGCGCCGGCTGCTGCGCCGCCGATCGCGGAGTTCTTGATGATCGTTCCGATCGCGTCGTCGGACGCGCCGAGGAGGGATCCCAAGCTCAGGGGCTCGCGAGCCTCAAGGAACTCGCGCTTGGAGGTGGAAGAGTCTCCGCCGAGCAAGGACTCAGCGCCAGCGAGGAGGGCTGCGAGGCCTCCGCCGGTGGCAAGGCCCTTGCCGAGCTCCTTTCCGAGAGCACCGACGCTGACAGGCGCACGAGCCTCCATAAAGAGGCGCTCCTCGAGGAGCTCGCGAGCATGAAGGAGCTCGCGCTTCGAGGTAGAAGAGTCGCCACCGAGCAAGGATTCAGCGCCGGCGAGGAGGGCTGCGAGGCCTCCACCGGTGGCAAGGCCCTTGCCGAGCTCTTTGCCGAGAGTACCGATGCTAAGGGGCTCACGGGCTTGAATTTGGCTGTGCGCATAGCATGAGTAAACGACGGATTGAGCGCATGGATCGACCAATACTCACCCAACGGGAGCTGCGGCAGCAGCCGCGGCGAGAGCGAGAACAACAACGGCGGAAGTGGAGTGCATTTTGATTGACAGGATAATGAAGGAGCGGGGTCGTGCGTAAAAAAAGTTGAAAAGTCGAGAACGAGTTGTAGAAAGAAAGAGGAATGTGACGAAGTCGAACGGTAACCAGTACCTCACTGAGTTGGACTCTAAACCTGGAGCTGAAGAACTGGAGTCGTCTCCATGGATGTTTTATACTCGACGATGTGCCGTGCCGAGACTATTGTGCCTTCCGCCAAGGAAGATGCGATGAGCGCGTCGCCATGCGTCCCCAAGAGATCCATCAAAGCCACGGTTGAGAAGAGCCGTAACGAGGTTTTGCCGGTGCATGCTGGGATGTTGGTCGCCTTCGGGAGTGGCCATGATCTAACGATCGGATTTGATGGAGGAGTGCGAGATTTGATGGAGCACGGGAGCACGGAGCGGATCCAGGGTAAAAGATTATTGCTTCATGTCTTGTCCGAACGACGGTGCTCCGGACGAAATCAGGCTTGGTGATAAATATGGTCGTGTAACCCGAGCCGAGCAACGTCCACAGTATTCGTTGCCGCGTCTTTGCAGCGTATCTTAGGTTGTCTCTCTTGGTCAGGTTGGCTGGAGACGCTTTGGGCATCCGATCTCAAGAGGACCTGGCTTGAAATCAAAACGTGATCAGTTCGCGTGGGTGGCGGTGTTGCCAAACGGGTTCCGGCCTCCGGCCTGCTATCAGTGCGCGCAGCGGTAAATAGATGGCGATGCGAGACAACCTATGCTCAGGCACTGCGCATGGCTTCTAATCCGCTGGATCCATGATGTGAAGCAGATGTGAGGCGTAGGTAAACTCGTCCAGGCAAATCCAGGCGGATTCAAGGCTGCCAGAGGCTGTGCTAGAACCGTTGCCAACGCAATTTGCGCGAATGCATGTCTTGAAATTCGCCATGGTTCGCTGTTGCAACATCGTCTGGTCGACTTGTGCGCATTCGAGGATGGGTCGTTCCGACCCGTTGCCAGAGATACCAGAGTGGCAACAATGTGTCAGATGGTCTAAGTCGCGGTCGCTCTCACATGCTCCGGTCTCCCCACAGAACTAGTCATCACCTGCTACCTACCCGCAACGGAGGGCATTCGTCGCGATCGTGCATCTTCCTGACTCAACTGTGCCCGTGCAAAGGGACAAGGACGGCATATATCCAACCGCTCCGAGTGCTCGATGAGCATGAACCGCGCTTGATCTGCTCATACCTACCCCGAAGGCAACACACGCATTGCATCGAGAGTTGATTGAACGAGTTGTTCCATGCCTTGACCGATGTGGGCTATGGGGAGATGCCGTCTGGCGAGCTTGGCTATGGATGGTAGAGGTGAGCACCCCCATATCGGGGACGTGTGTGAAATCTAAGTATCCTTCTGTGTTCTAGCTCGGTGTGTTCAATTGTGCCACTGCAAGGCAATGCCGTGGATATCCATCGCAGTCTGGACAAAGCCGTGCCATGTTTTCAGCGTTCCTCTGTTCACATCAGACCGCCTTGATGATACGAGAGGTGCCATACCATGATCGCCGCATAACACGGGGAGTGACCTGTTCAGCGTGTTGCTCCAGTCGTGGATCATCAAGCTCGCCGTTCCACCGTACCCCATCTGCCGCCCAGGATCGCGTTTCGTGCCGGCACACTCCTAAGCAGGATTCCAACCGTTGCGGGCCCGACGATCGTATTGAGCGTAATCGCCCAAACAGCCACGTTGAACGCCTCCGATGAAACCAGAGACTGCTGGGACGCGATGTTGATAATTAAGAAGCCGATCTCCCCTCGTGCGACTCTACGAAGATGATCCACGCATGATTAGTACAGGACTCAGGTGAAGGGGCACTGAAGCGGCGTACAGAGATAGACCCAGAAACATAGCCGAAGGCCAGCTCGGGATCAACCTGGGCAGCACTTGTTCTCTAAGCTGAGTCTCGCCCGGCGTCGGTAACATAGGTGCAGGTAGCGGATTTCCAAGTTCCACTGGCCGCGAATCGTGGCGTCCGCAGTGATTGATGGTAGGCCTCCTCCCGAGTCTGCTCCACCGGCACGAACGGTTCCTCCAGATGCACGCCTTCTTCTGCAATAAAGTGTCCGCGAGGATGATCCAACTACCGGCACATAGCTTCCCGACTCCCATGAGGCCAGCGTATATGATGCCCTACGCGAGAAGTTTTCAGTTCGTTTGCAACCCACACTGGAGACGATGCGACTCGCCCTCCACACCGTCTGACCTCTGAACATCTCTTTCACCGGTATCGCAGAGCCGATGCTTGCGAAGAAGAAAGGACCTAGGACGAGCTCTTGTATAGGTTTTACGCGGGAGAACGCTGCTTCCGGAGATCCGTCCCTCAGCAACTTCAGCAGCGGGCTATCGCGGTCAACGCCGGCATTGGCAGCCACGAGACCATCGTATAAATGTTTCATCGTTGCACCTGCGCAGAAGCAGCCTATGAGGATAGAGCTCCCGATGTAAGATGCTATGGTTGCGAAGGTTGCTACGACCGCGATAAAGGCTACAACGGCCAGCGCATCCAGGTTGTGAACGAGTTTGGTCGCGGTCAGGCAAGTGAAAATCCATCCTGGGGCCTGACAACTACCGCGGTTGTTGAGCGGGCTGAGGACGTAGCGAGAGATGATGGCCGTGAACACAAGAAGGGAGACCGAGGCAACGAGAGGGCGAGCAGCAGACCACGGTGCGATGGACTGTGAACCTGAGGAGGTGGATGGCAAATTCGAGATTATGCTGGAGATAACCAACCCTACGATATCATCCAGCAGCGCCGCGGCCACAAGGATCGTACCGATACTGGTTCCAATGATAGTCTCTTCGCCTCGGTCCCCATCATGTCCATTCGTGTCCACCTCCATCGATGCCACTGCTCCTTCCTGAATAGGTTGATTGGAAGGCAATTTTCCGGCGGGAGGCCCTGAATCCTCAGACAGGTTCGAAATCACGCTAAAGATAGTACCCAAACTCGTGCTTGAGAGCGAGGCGCCGAGTGCGAAGGATTCGATGTACCCGTATCCATACGCGAAGGGCAGCAGTGCCAGAGAAAGCGCAATAGGGACGACGATTCCCGTGGTCCCAACAAGCAGAGCGAGTACGAGCGTCCTTCTATTGCTGAGGATATCTAACCTGGTGTCCATTCCGCCCTCAACTATCAGGAGCATGAGACCGAGGTATCCGAAAGCTTGGACGCTGTATTGCACATGGCTGGGGAGGATGGAGGACAGCGATGCCGAGTAGGCAGCACCAATGAGTAGTGGTCCGAGAAGTCCTGCGGATACTAGTCGGGAGAGTATGCCTCGGCTCAGGTTGAGGAAGAGGAGAAACGACGCGATTATGAGAATGGTGGCTATATGCGCCTCTCTGTAGGGTAGCGAAGTCAGAGGAGATAGATCGTCGAGTGCCATGACGAGGGGTGCAGAAGGTAATCAGTAAAGAAGTATACGTTGGCAATGAATCTCTGCTTTCGTGTAGGCAGAATCTATTATCGAACGGGAGGATGGACGTCAGTATCCAAAAGACGTGGGTCCCGAATGAACGTGAATTATGTTTCCGTGAAGTGGCAATGGTACTGGCTGAGAAACTACGTGATAAATTGTGGGGAGTGGATCTGGTCGTTGTTCCGTCCACAGTGGACCGTTGTCCCCAGTGGCAGCAGTGGTCGTCGCTGCAAAAGGTGTCGTGCGGAGAACTCCGCACGTGGACGATCGGTGGGTGCGCCCTGCGCCACTCTGTCCGGCGCCTGCTTCACTCGCGCCGACTTCGAACCATGGCCCGAATCCAGTCGACTCTGAGTTCATCGTACAAACGGCAGAATCAGTATGACCCGCATTAGGTTATTGCGCGTGTTACTGCCTCTCAGCGGCGCAATGTCCCTAGTAAGCAGAATCACCAATCTTAGTCTGTCTGATTTGCGGAATGGAAGGTTAGGATGGCGCAACTTCAGCACACAATGACAGTACTAATACCACGATCTCCCCAGATTCCGTAGACCCCTCCGGCTACTCGCACTATGAGCTGGAAGGCCCAGATACATATTCTCGCATTCGCCGCGGCTTGTTTCGCCCAACAGACGGTGTTTTCCGAGCATGACGGAAATGATCGTGTACAGTGGACGACGTTCAGCAATCCTATCAAACGTGTCGCCGTCATAGGCGCCGGCCCATCGGGTCTTCAGGTCGCAGCAGAGCTTCTCGAACATAACTTCACCGTCCGTCTCTTCGACCGTGCGCCTGGTCCCGGTGGAAACTGGCGTTATTCGGAGGAGGTTCCTACCCGCGAGTCTTACCCGTACGCATTGCATTCCACCACATGGAGCAAGGAGAGATACTCATTGTCGTTATGTAAGTGATACGCCTTTCGAGATTTATCCTCAAATTCCCGACAAGTACCCCCACGTCGAGTACTACTCCGATGGCGACGACGGCCTCACCCTGGACGAGCGCTGGCGCGACCACTGGGTCCCCCGACCCGTATGGAAGAACCTTCACACCAACTCTCCTACCAGTATTACCGAACTCCCTGGCGTACCCTACGCCGCCGGTGCCGTAAGTCCCTGAATCCCCTCCTCGAACCCTTCGCATCTCATGTGCTCGTCTTTGCAGCCGTGGGCGCCCAGCCAACGCAGCGTATCGGCACACGTGCGCGCCTTCGCCGCACTGCACCACCTGAGCGCGGACGACGACCCAGCTGTTGTTTCCTATGGTACGCGCGTCCAGCGCCTGGCGAAGGCTCCCGGAGGAGGCTGGACGCTCACACTCAAGCGCCTTACGCTCCTCGAGGAGAGTCAGAGGATAAAGGCAACGTGGTGGCAGGAAGACTTCGACGCCGTCGTCGTCTCGCTTGGGTTGGATAGCGACGGGCCGCATGTCCCCGATATTCCAGGCCTTGTCGAGTGGAGCAAGGTGAAGGCGCCTGGAGAGCCTGAACGCTTCAGTGTGTATCACTCGCGCGTGTACAGGACGCCGGAGCGCTATGCCAATAAGGTTCGCTTGCTTCTATGCGTGCCCCGCGGCGCAGGATGCTAACAGATCATATTAGACGGTCCTCGTCGTTGGCCCCGGCACGTCGGGCTCCGAAATCGCGCGCGACATCGCTCCGTATGTGAAGAAGCTCTACGCGAGCTCGAAGGTACGCACCATCGCCACCATCGCGATAGTATCACCTCTGACGGTGGACCTTCGATGTTAGGAGTACGACTGGAGTAAGCTGCACGCGTTTCAGCGGCGCTCCTTCCGCAGGTTCCCAGCCAGCACGGAGTGGGTTTCCGAAATCCGATCCTTTGAGCCGCTCGCGTCGCACGATGACGGCATTCAGTCGGGGGAAATCACGCTCATCAACGGGACGGTTCTGTCGGGGATCGACGAAGTGCGCATCAGTCCGGTCAAGTTATGATAGCATATGTGACACCCCTGTCCAATCCACAGATTATCCTCGCCACAGGTTATATCAGGACGAACACGTTCCACGCCCAGGTTACCAATGAGTGAGTCCACTTGTCGAATAGCCTTGTGTCCTACTTACATTCCTATCCAGTACGACCAAGTCGGACGGTGCGCGCCCCTACCGCCATGTGCACTGGACGGGCCACTACATTCCCGACCCCACCCTTGCCTTCACGAACTGTACGCACACGATCCACGTCTTCGCTATTGCGGAAGTCCTTGTCGGAGATTGAGCTCTCCATCCAGGCCGGCCGTGGAGCGTCGTACGTTACCAATCTTACGGTCTTGCCAAGGTCTGGGCGGGTACCGCGCGCCTGCCGAGTGAGGAAGAACTGTGGAAGCAGTACGACACCCCACGCTTCACGTACTTCTGGGGCTTCTGGGGCACAGAGCGCTCAGAAGGTAAGTCTTCTTTGCACTCGGCCCCCAGCGCCATGCGGTTATGGAATTGGGTTGCTTCCAGCACTCCTCCGCCAGTGGGTCGTGTGGCTCAACGACCAATCGCTGCAATTCGGTGGTCGGCTCGTAGACCAGTACCCCCTCGAGTAAGCAACTGTTTTCTCATCCTTATGTTGCGGTGTTGACTGAGATCCGCCTGCAGAACCCGCGAGGCGTTCGCGTACTATATGGATTTAGAGACTCAGGAGCGAGAATACCTCAACCGCGACAACTTTACGTCGTTCGAGAACGTGCCCGCCGACAAGTGGGGCGCGAGCGCGGACTTGAACCTATGGGACGAAGCTGGGTTTGAGTACGGTCCCCAGTTATGGTAGAGTCTACGCCGCAACGTTTCTGTCGATCAGCGTAACATTGGCTTGAGACCATGGTGATGTAGTAGACCCATTCGAGGTATAAATGGGCAATACGTGTGCGTGATCCTCACCGATTTTCTAGATCAAGTCAGTTCGACGAAGGCAAAACGGAAATTTGATCGTGAATATGATGCTGATTTGCTACGAATATGCTACGAGTAAAGTACATTTAACGGCAAGTCCATGATGGCAGTCCGAACTGGTAAGAAGGTCCATTGATTGTACAGAGAGTTCGTTCAAAGTTCGTGGATTGTTTTCCGGCCTCGAAACTGGGTTGAGCGTCCATCATATCGGAACTTGCGCGTCCTGGTCAGGGGTTGCGGCAAGTCGGGCCATCGGGACCCTTGGTTAATGTTTTAGGCCGTGATGGTAAACTCAGGCGAGAGGTTGCCCTGCAACGAAGTCAGGCAACTGAAACCCAGTGTCTCGAATGATAGGACAACTCACCGAGTCTCCGAACAGCAAAATTTGGTAATCGCTGGCCGGCGTCACTTTGGGGACTTGGATGACGTGGCGTCCATCGAGAATAGAGAAGTTCGCGGCAAGGGGAGAGTCTGCACCAAAGAGATACTCGTCAAAGGTACAGTCTCAGACCAACAAAAAGAGTAGAGGTTACCAAGGTCCAATGCGATTCCATTCTTAGCGAGAACGATCATGCCAAACTTGTTGGTAATGTTGACGGGAGGGTCGGACACATCCCTGCAATACACATTCAGCATCCGGATAACCGCTTGCATCGCTGATCAACTTACCAGGTGACGTTGTGGTGGGCTCCAACCTTCCAGACGGTGCCCGCGTGAGGGTAAAGGACGGGAGGCACGTAGACGTCGCGGGGCTCTAGGCTGACGGGCAGAGCCGCGGCGAGGGAGGCGAACAGCGAAACGAAGAGGGCCAGCATGAGCTTGAAGGTCGTGAACATCATCGCAGTCGTGGTCGTAAAAAGGATTTTGTGAGGGGTTTGTTTTGGGTCCGTAGAACGGTGAGGAGTAGTAGACGGTCATGGAGAATATATATACGTTAGGCCCGGCCTCGGTGACCAGTTCAGCGCAGCCCTGTGTCATAGTGGATCCGTGCCCCGGCGATCGGGACCCGCGGGCAAGCACTCCCGAGACCACGCCGGTGCTGGCCGCGCTCGATAATCACATCCTGACTTGGCCATCGCTCTCATGGCGATTCGTTCTGCCCGACAAGAGAAAAGCATAGAAGGTGTCAGAACCGCGATGGAAGCAGGGCAAGCAGGGGCTATCAGGGCAAAGGAGGACAGGAAGGGCGCATGGTTGGATTCGGATAGGGTCAAGTGATACAACGCAGATAATCGCATCTCCTGTTTCTCTCCCGCCGCTGTGCATTCATCAGGGATATTTACTGCCCATCGTGTTCGTAGCACGGCCTCTGCATGCCGCTTCCAGCATAGGAGCTGACCTGCTTTGGAGCATGAACGAACATTCGAGAGCAAGCCGACCCAGCCCGACCCTGCACGAGTCACAGCCTCCGGCGACTCATTCTCGGAAACTCGGGAGGAGCGGCAGTTCTCCCGCATTGCGCCACAATGCCTTAAGGGGTATATCAGAGAGGAGACAAAAAGGAAACGTAAGATTGCATCGGGGGTATCGTGACAACATGCAATAATGATATCCAAACATGCAACAGGCGTGATGAGAGCGCAAGCGTGAAAGTCCAAGAGGCTACGGTGAGGCGATTTAGCAGCTGGACGGGACGGTGTCGTCGTCCTTGTGGTTCTTCGCATTCTGTCCGAGGCCGCGGCTGGCGAAGGCCTTCCACAGAGTGCAACTGATTCGTTGAGATCGCGCGATGAGAAATGACGGATTCCCTTAGGTAATCTAGGGGCGACGTACGTGTGGGCACCATCGTAGCGGTTCTTGTCTGCCTGGATCCAGGCGTCGCGGGCGGTGGGCAGCGTCGGGTTGCAAGGCTGGAGAGCGAGCGAGTCGATGAACAAGTGGAGGAAAACGACGTTTCCTTCGGAGCCGGAGGCCTTCGAAGTCAGGTTAGAAGGTTGTCATCAATGCTTGATCGTATCATGCGTACATCGGTGTGCGCATCTTCGCTGAAGCCGTTCTCGTCCACAAGGGAGGCGTAGACGTTGTGGAGCATGTTCGCCCAAACTTCACCAATGTCGTGAACCTCGTTGAGCGTCGCGATGCTGGCGTAGGTCAGAGGGTTGGTGGTCCTGCAGAAGAAAGAGCGATGAGCGATTGACCATTTGAGCGAGACGTATCAGCGTACTTGGAGGTGGAGTACGGGTGCGTGCGGATACCGCTGTGAAACCGAGCATCATTAGTTACCCCCAAGGCTGAGCAAAGGCGAGCGCGTACGCCTTGTCGTTAATGACGTAGGTGCCCATGGTGAAGTCAGAGATCTTGGACGACTTCTGCTCGGTCCATTCCGCAAACGCGTCTGACCAGCCCTCACCCATGCCGCCAGCCTCAGTGGTCTGGAGGCAGCGGCCGGTACCACCGCCCGTCAGGCGGTTGCTGATGCCGTGGGTCATCTCGTGGGCGACGATGTCGTTCTGGGTGTCAAAGGTACGGTGAGTTAGGGCCGCTGTGAAGATCGGGGGTATCGTACCTCAAGAGCACCGTCACGCTCGGGGCTGGTCTCGTCCCAGAGGAACATCCTCATGTGTCCAGATTGACCATCGGCGGGAGTGCTGATAATTTTACGTCAGATTCGGTTGGCGGCTTGAATAGGCCGTGCAGCTTACCTGAAGTCTGTGGGAGAGCGAAGAACAAGAATGGTAAGCACCTCAGCGGAATGTCAGAGTCCTTGACAGCCAATGCTTACCAGCGTTGCTGGAAATCACGGTTAGTTAAGGGACCTTTGACGTTGACATGAGGAGACCAACGTACTCAGTGCCCGCGGAGTCCTGAACGGAAACGGTGACGCGGTCACCGTCCTCTCCACCATTGCCGAAGTTGTCGTCCTGGAAGTTGTAAGCCTTCTCCGTGAAACCGTAGGTATAGCTAATGTCGTGGACGGTGTTGACGACGTAGAACGCGTTGGTGCGGGCAGCGTTCAGGTTGGCGGACGTGGTCGGGGCCTTGGACGCGTCGTGGGTGTAGATGAACTCGTCGGTGTCGGACTCCGAGGTCCGCTGGCTGGCGCTCGACTTGTAAACGATGACGTTATTGCCGCTGAGAAGAGAGTCGGTCCAAGATCCGCTTGGAGAACGGGCGCTGGGTGGATGCTCACGCGGTGGTCTTGCCCTTGACCCAGCCGTTGGGGCTGGCGTCCTTGTTCTCCGGGTCCTCAAGGGTCTCGACGCCCTCCGTAAGGTCCTGCTTGGTGATAGGCAAGACCTTGTCTAATAAAAGCGACATTGGTATCGGACGAATGTGCAAAAATGGGAGGACTTACAAGTGAGCTTGGTGACGAAGTCCGTGACCGAGAGCAGGTCGCCGGAGTGAGCGTCAACGAAGGCCTCGTACCAGGCACCCTGGTCGTTCTGGATCTGAATGACGTGGGTGAGGGCGACCGAGCCATCGTCCTTGGCGAGGTACTCGACGGTCGTGGGGTGGCCGTTGTAAGTGCCAGAAAGGGCAGCCTCAGCCTTCTTGATCGCCGTCTGGAGGTCAAGAGTGGGCTTTGAGGCGGGGATGTCCTTAGGAAGCGCAACGAAACTGCTACCGAAGGCAACGACCTGCGGAAACGTTCGTTAGAAGCTTGGTTCTCCACATCGTGTTCTTGAGTACTGACCTTGTTGTTCTTCAGCGCAACGTTGGCGACAGCGTTGGCGAAGGGAACGCCATCGTGCTGCTGGTGGAAGTAGGCGTGCGACGTGATGTCGCCCTCGAACCCGGAGCGGAAGGCAACGGCGCCATCGTCCAATTTCGCCTTCGACTTGACGAAGGCGAGGGCGGAGTCCTGGAAGGACGCGTCGGCGCGCTTCGACAGCGGGTGGTCGATACCATCCTCGTAGGTCTCGTAAACAGAAGCAGGGTGGTACGTCTCGAGCTTGAGATCCCTGCTAATGTTCCTCACACGGTGCGTGGCATGCTGTTGCAAGTACGCGGTAAGCTTCCGGATTCGTCACATCCACTGACGCAGCGTTATTCACCTTGGAGTTGGCGGGCCAGGGTGCGGCCAAAGCAGCCGATGCGTACGAAACCGCGATGAACACGGACGCGATGAATTTGTAAGAGAACATGGCGTCGAATTGAGAGTGCTTGCGCGGAGTCGTAAGGAGGACGTGCAGGAGGGAGACTTCGAACTCGTGAAGAGGAGGTCGCCTGCCGATCCTGAGGCCTCCTCCCTAGGATTTATGCACTTGAAAAATCCTTGGCGGGTTGACGCAACGCGCATGGTGAGATGCCCGGCAGCTCAGTTGGACCGGGAGAGCCATGCAACGGTCGGTGCGGAGAAGCGACCGGGAACACTGCTTCCGCTCGCACGTTGGGGTGATCACATCTTGTACGCGCGCGACGGAGGGCACCGTCGTCTGGCGTCTGGCGTCTGTGAGCACCGGTAGATGCCAAGAGCGTCGAGGCCATGTGGCGGGGCTGCTGCTCTGCGCAAAGCTGATAGGGTAACCGCCGGGGAGCACAAGTTATGAGTGCCAAGACAGTGGAAGCGCGACAATCACGCGACCACGGAGGCAACACGATGGTGTGGCAGCATGGTTTGCACAAGGTTGAGCAGCTTTGCTCATCGTCGTTGTTTCGGCGTCGGACGAGGACGAAAGCTTTGGAAGAACGGTTAGCACATTCATCCTCGACTCTAGAGCGTTGGTCCGGCCAGGTGAGACGTTCTTGCAAAGCGTTGCACTGAATGATGAACCGGTCGGAGTGAGGGTCGGCGATGCAGATCACTGCAACGAGAGCCGTCGGGGATTGCCGCAAGATGCCCTCTGATCACGTGACTTGACGCGCGTTCGCGACACGCACATGCGGCATAGCCCCGCCCTTGACTCCGGCGTTCATGCTCATCCTGAGGCCATCGATCGTTCCGTTGCGAGATCTCCGACGCGTTGCTACCATGTCACTCCCAAGAGATGTTCAAGAGTTTCTTGCCGGTTATCCAGGCATAGAAGACCATCCATCTCAGCATGCCAACTTGTTGTTTTACAGGAATCAGCTACGGTGCCGACCGGATAATCTTTTGGTGGAAGAGATCCACGATCAGCGCGTTCATTTCGTTCACGATCTCGCGTCATTGCTGACATACTTTACGATTGCGCGCTCAGATGGAAAGGGGATTACAACCTTCTTGAGTATAAGCACGGTTTTATACAATGGCTGTCAGTTTCATGGGCCTGAATGCCTGCGCCGTTACTAACATCGTGCGGAAGGTTTCCAATTCGTGAATACGGCATGAACTATGAGTCGCAACCTTTACAGCTTCATGAGAGGGACGCCATGAAGTCCGATCCAGATATTAAACGGCGACTACTGGCGTCATACGAGCTTATGCTGGATTTCTATGGAATGCGCCTCCTGGATCCTGACACTGGACTGTTGCAGAGGTCCCTTCCCCCACGAAACTTCGAAGGGCAGTACAGAAACCTTGTCCGTAAGTCGCCGATCTCGCCATGACCAGGCTTCGCCCATTAACGACTTTTCGAAGGATCTATGCACAACAACTTGCGCATATCTCGCATCCTCAAATGCCTCTCAGAGATGGATCTCGAACACCTGAACGCTGGCTTCCTTCTGCACGTTCTCAACGAGCAGAGCGAGAACGGCGAGCTGAACTCTGGGTCCATCCAGAGCAGCATGGACAGGTGGTGGGCGAACTGTCTCAGGAATGAGAACGAGCGCGCGTGGATAAAACGCGCTATCCAGAAGGTCAGAACCGACGACAACTTCCAATTCACTAGAGAAAAGTACGAGGCCGCCCTTCGATCGCGGTCAGAGTCGGGCGAATTCGACGAACGAATGCTTCACTCGGATCTGGCTTAGAGAATTCGTTTCAGCAAGGTCACCTAGGTAGCAGTCTGGTTGGTGGACGTGATCCTATTGCGACATACAACATATTGTCGGGCATAGCGTTCATCGATCAATTACCAGACGTGAAAAACAGCATTCGTCACAGAGAGCTCGATGCGTCCGACTTAGTTGTTGATGTATAACACCTCGCAGGATCACCTTGAATTACTCACAGAGAATTATTGGATCGCTGCAGCAGAGCGGGCTCATGCCACAAGCCGGATAAACTAACTAACACAACGTCAGCGGCATGAATGATGAATCACGGTTTGGGCGAGCACCCAGCATACCATGGTAGGCTATTCAAGCTGCTGAAGCCGAGTTAGCTTGGTGAAGAGAATCTGCTGCTGCTTCAGACCAAAGCCGGGACTCAGTTCCTGCAGGAGTGCTTCCAGTGTCTCAGATACATCTTTCGAGTCTGTTCCTGGTCCCAGGACCGGTGTCAGACTGGATCCATTCACCGTCCGGGTCCAGCTGCGCACCTGCTCGAAATCCGCGGCCGTCCAGGTAAATGGTAACCTCCTCTTCTTCCAGGAGGATCACGTTGGCCTTGGCCTCCGTGCTCGTGTGATTGCCCAGCGTGAAGCTCTTGATTCCGTGTGCATTCTCTCTTAAGCAGTTCTGGAGTTCCTCGACGTAGACATTTGTGGTAGCCATTATTGTCAGGATCTAAGCGGCATCGCTCGGGTCCAGGACCTTGCAAGTCACCGTCATGCATGATGTCGAATGCATCCGTGCGTCACCGCCACCATCGGCGCCGTGCCGCGCATGCCGCGCATGCCTTCAGCACGCGCATCTCTCAGCAGATTGGTACGATATACCCCTTCGCATTTTGCAGCCATCGCGTTCTTCTCTTGTGCTTGAACGATGGACGTGGTCAAGGCAGTCGAGACCTATGTCACGAAACTCATCCAGACGCCTGCGGGGATGAAGGTCCTCCTGCTGGACTCTCATACGGTACGCCATCCTTGGAGATAACTCACGAGATGAAGCTCACCATATTTTCTCAGACACCGATAGTTTCTCTCGCCTCCACACAGTCCGTCCTTCTCGCGCATGAAGTTTACCTCACCGACCGGGTCGACAACCCCAAGCGGGAGCGCATGGCGCACCTGAAATGCGTTTGCTTCGTGCAAGTTAGCGACGAGAGCCTGGAAGCGCTCGAACGCGAGCTGCGCGAACCCAAGTACGGGGAGTACTACCTCTGTCAGTTGGTGAATTGCCATATCCCCGTTTTCCGTCGTTGATCTGCATCGCTGATGCCGTTCTTCGTGTCCGTGTCAGACTTCAGCAACATCCTGAGCAAGATGGCGATAGAGCGCTTGGCCGAAGCCGACGAATACGAAGTCGTCCGCGAAGTGCAAGAACACTTTGCCGACTACGCACCCTTGACGCCCTACCTCTTCTCGCTCAACCACACCCCGTCCGTCTCCCGGCCTTTATACGGCTCCTCCCCCAATCAATGGGATCCCGCCGCGCTCGAACGCTCCGTCCAGGGGATCATCGCCGTCCTTCTCAGCCTCAAGAAGAAGCCAGTCATCCGGTACGAGAAGATGTCCTCCATGGCGAAGAAGCTTGGGGTTGAGGTTCAACATCGTATCAAGTCCGAACCCACCCTCTTCGACTTCCGGCCTACGCAAACCGCTCCGGTTCTCCTCATCCTTGACCGGAGAAACGACCCCGTTACCCCGCTACTCTGCCAATGGACGTATCAGGCAATGGTTCACGAGCTGCTCGGTATCAACAACGGACGTGTGGATCTATCCCTTGTCCCGTCCATACGGCCCGAACTGCATGAGGTTACATTATCCCTCTCCACTGACGAATTCTTCCGCGATCAACACCTCGCTACATTCGGCGATCTCGGCGAACACCTCAAAGCCTACGTGCAAGCATACCAGAGCAAAAGTTTGGCGCAGAGTCCGCAAAATATATCGAGCATCGCTGACATGAAGAAGTTCGTGGAGGAGTACCCCGAGTTCAAGAAGCTGGGAGGAAACGTGAGCAAGCACGTCGCGCTTGTTGGCGAGTTGAGTAGGTTGGTTGCCAGAGACAAGCTGCTTGAGGTCGGTGAGGTGGAACAGGGACTTGCGACGGGATCTGGCGCCGACTTGAAGGTGATTCTAGCTGTGTGCGGTGTGCAAGTATTCGTGCTGATTGTTTAGAGCGTCCAAGCTGTCATTTCAGACCCGGCTGTACCCTCACACAACAAGCTCCGATTGGTTATCCTGTACGCCCTACGGTATCAGAAGACACAAGCGGCGAATATTGCGTCGCTCATCAACTCGATGCTTGCAAATGGGGTTAAGCCGGAAGATGCGCGGGTAAGCACAGGCTATTTTTTGTGCACATTCGATGTCTAACTTGACTGCGATAGCTGGTGTACGTTATCTTAAACACGTCCGGATCGGATCAACGGCAAGATGACCTCTTCTTGAACGAATCACTACTTGCGAAAGGTCGTTCGGTTCTCAAAGGCATCAAGGTAGGTGCTGATTTTGTCGACGTTGAATTGCATTTGATATCCCGCATCTTCGTCCCAGGGCGTCGAAAACGTGTACATGCAACATACACCACAGCTGTCGCAGACGCTCGAGAACCTATTCAAGGCACGATTGCGCGAAGCTACATACCCGTTCTTGGATGGCGCGGGACCGAACGCAGGGTTACAAAGGTACCATCCATTTCAGTTCGTTTCTGATGAAAGGCCAGCGGTTCTGACAAGTTTGTACGGCAGACCGCAAGACGTGATCGTGTTCGTAATCGGCGGAACGACCTACGAAGAAGCACGCGCCGTTGCGCTCCTGAACCAAGAGTTCGCGATTGGCTCAAACCCTAACGCGCCCGGGGGA